CCATTTTAGAAAAATATATTTAGTACCAAAATATATGGTATATACAATTTCTGAACATTTCTTTTTTGACGTCAAATTTGGAACAATTATTTTATGACTTATGCCACATATTGTCCTCTTTCTTTATTTTAATTCACCCCCCACCTCTTTCTCTGTGGAATACTTATATACGTAATAACGGTCGTAAATATTTATATCCAGAATCACAATAATATGACACCCGACACCAAAGGCCCAAGTTGACCATGCAGCTAATCAATAGGTCCCTGTATCTAACCGTATATAAAGTGTTTCCACAAAAATTTAAAAATTATTTACCGCAAGAACAATATGTACAATGAAAACCAGTCTCATATGTAAAACCGTGACTAACTGCAAGCGCTCACACATCGGAGCACACCACCTTTCCTCGATATGCAAATATAAAATACGTGTGCCATACTCATGTATGTATGTATGTGCGCGTATAGAAATGCGCCGCTAGAAAAATGTGACAGCATTCATAATCAAAACTGCGGCACGTTGCCAGCAACGCACGCTCTGTATTTGCATAAAACGGATATTTATTTGTTCGCATTTTATTGGAAAAACAAATATTTACATATTTACGCTAAGTTACGAAAGTGGCTTTCATTTCGTTGTTTAAAAATAGCCACAGGCGATCTAAAAATATTGTCGAAGTACTCGGGCGACTGATTTTCTGATATGCTAATGATTCAATGGAAATCTGTGTCTGTTGCATATCTCTTGCCGGAATATTCATTGTAGCTAGCGACCTGCTTGTGAAAATATATGTGTATGTGTATATTCATTTGTGTTGCTCTGTATGGACACCTTGTGCGCTCAAGCTTTGCTAATTAAGTTTATCGCAAAAGATTTCCGCGCAGATAATTGAAATTTTCTTGTTTACTTATTATACGCCAATTGGGTTTGTTCTTAGAAAAGAGATATTGCACGATTTTGCTAGTTTATTGTTGTGATGATAGTTATATATAATTAAAATTGTAGAGAAGTGAATGCGCGTGATGCCTATTAAGGTTAAAAACATTTACGTTTTGACTGGCATGGCTAAATCAATGCTAATCAGTTATATATATAAATTATAAGGTCTCCGAAGCTTCCTGCTTGTTGCTACAAACTGTGTATATTAAACTCTGTTCAGGGTATAATTGAAAAAGTCGAAAAAATAAATAAAAATTCACCGATGTCTTGCATCAGTCATGAAATAGAGGTAAATAAACGTATAAATATAATCGAAACCAATACAACGTAAATAAATTTTAAAAGGTAAGGAAGACCAAAGTTCGGGTGCAGCCAAACATTATAAGCTCTCACAGTTCGCAAAAACTATTATAAGGAATATTTCAAGGTTATGACATATGAATTCTAAGCTCGTTATTGGACGAAAATGTGCATTGGTTTCATTTGAACTTCATTAAAATATGTATCTGTATTTATTTGAGATATAGTATATAAAAAAACCCGGTTGGGTAAAGGTTTTGAATGTTCTCTCACTTTTGGCAGCGAATTACATTATGTTATCAAAAATTTCTCGTTTCCTTTTACTGTTATATCTCCTTCATCGCCCCATATATGTACGTACCTATACTGCATAATGCAAAATGAAAGAGAAGAAATCTATTTTGACGACGATCTATCCGATATAAAATCAACTTGAAACACTGATGACTTCATATATGGTATATGGGTCTATAAAAGGTTTGGAGCGATTTCGACCGTTTTTAGATAAGAATTGTCCCATGTTTGAGGCTCTCTATAGGTAGTATTTTAACCAATTTTCTTCATCATTATAATCATTTCGATTATATTCTGTAACTCATAAACTGAGATCAGATGAACAAAACTATAGTACTCTGTGTAACATGTTGCGCTGTCGAAAGTTCTAGTCGTAAACTGGTATTACTCCTTTCTTGTATTGACGTTTCCATTACAAAGCATTGAAAGCATGTATATATATGTACACGAACACGATTCCTTAACACGTTTGTCTAACACGAGTTGTATTGCTGCTTCTGACGGATAAAAAAATTGTGTTCGCCCACGAAATGGTTCATTTAAAGTCAAAGGCGAATGAAAAGTGCTTAGGTGGAAAATGCACACATATGAAAGTTGAGTTGTGGATACGTTTGAACATGTGTCGTTACATGAATCACCTGCAGCGGTATATTCGGACTACGGATCATAATAGAGAATTGTTACTAATATACTTTTTTGGTGAACATAGATTTAGGTAAATTAGTAAACTTAGAAAATAAATTTTTTCGCTTCAAATAATTTTATACCTCGGCGACTTCTTTTCAGCAGTCATTCTTTTAAGGTTTGTAAACAGTCAGAAATAATTCACTGTAGAAAAAAGTGCCATTATTTTTAATTATAATTTGTATGAAGTGTCTATGTAAAATAGTCGATAACAGAATAGAAGTGGTCGCCCTCGTGCGATTCGAACCAATTCAGCCTTAAAAATTGGACGCGAACGCATTCGCGGAAATCGAATTAGAAAACAGAATGGGTTTATCGACCAGATCGATGTCAAGACTTATTGGAGATGATCTCTACATGAAAGCCTACCGTCGGTCAACTGGTAATCCTCTGACAGCGCGCTTAAAGCATATTAGCCTAAACAGATGTAGGCAGCTGGAAGGCCACGGTCAACGACCATGGAAGTATCCTTTTACAAACAAAAAAATGTTCAAACTTGAAGAAGCTTAAGAACCGAAACGTCAAAGCTCCGTAAAAACTTGCAAAGACGCAAACAGTGTTATTCCAAAGGTCTCCATTTAGCTGTTGTAATGGTGTGGTGAAGAGACTTTTGTAAAGGTGTTACTTTTTTTCACTTCTGTGTTAAAAAGGCGTTAAAACTGGGAGAAGAGTGTAGGATGTTTCAGAAAGCGTGGTAAAAAAGTTAAGCAATACCCTCTTTGATGGAAAGCATTGGATCTTCCAGCAAAATTCTGCTAGAGCACAAAAAGCAAAACCTACCCAGCAGTGGCTTAAAATCTATTTCTGGTTTCATAGCAGCAGATAATTAGTCCAAATATGTCCAAATTTGAACTATTGAACTACATTTTTAGTTACAGTTGGAGAACATGGTCTGTCGAATAATCCACAGAAATTTGGATAGTCGCGAACGATGATTGTTTCGAGCGGCGTCGTCACTACCAATACTAGAGTAAGTACACAATTATTGACTATTTTTATTGACATGTCACCAGGTGAATTATTCGAATGTGAGCTTACGCGGCGCGAACATTACATAAAGCTTTCAAAAACTCTATTATTCGTTATTGTTACCCATCTCAAACGATCACATTTTACGGTCATATAAAGTAATTGTCAGGATATCTTGATGTTTTCGCTCGCCTCTGAAAGATGTCCACTGGGTCCATCGCCGATGCTCTTATGGCTTTTAACGGAATTCTGTAAACAAATTAAAAATGGTTGTTTTATCTAGTCAAGAGTCATTAACCCTATTTTTGGTATCAGCAGCCTTATTTCACAAAAGAAAAATAATATTTAATTAACAGGTAAATTTATCTTTATCCAGTTCTTTTAAAATATGAAAACAGTTTTCGGACAACTGTGTGGTTTATGTACGTGTATTTTGCATCGAAAGTCTAACTGACAAATATAAGGATTCAATTCAAGTGATTCTTAGAAGTGAGGCTTATTTTCTCTCACATAAAACTCAAACGAGACTACACACTATTTACAAGAAGAATGCTCGGAATGGACACAGAGAGAAATTATAATGAAATCGATTGTCTTAATAATCTTAATTACTTATCTTGTTACTAAGAAATATAAATATATATCTGTGCTGTAAACAGATAAGCAGCGCATCATCTGCAAACATTTTTTTTTTCGAAACGTTCTTCACTTTTGAAAAAATGTTTTATAATAACTCTAGGTTCTAATTAATTGGATTGCCTGAAAAAGTGTCTGCAAAAGTTGCCAGCCAAGCCAGCATCGACCATATACTTGCTGTGCATCACATGGCTGCAACAACGTCAGAAATCGTGCAATGTAAACAAAGAGAAAACAAAATAAATAACGAAATTACCATACGAGTTTGAAAAGTTTGTGCCAATTGCCAATCTTAGTTTTTAAATACTAAAAATTCCTAAGTGACGCACGAACTCACGTGGAACGGCCGATCAAAACAAGCGGAAATGCAACGAAGTGAAGGTGTAAAACTGGCTTAGCCGCACACCGGCAAAGTTCGCCTGACGGAAAACAATAGCGCCGTCAAGAGTCACGTTGTCTACACTTGCACACCTCGAAACAATTGGGCGACACCGTACTTGTATCGCAGACAAGAGCGTGAGTGTCGCACAGACCAATCAATGACCGCAGTCACGCTGTCAAGTAATGGAGGTTTGTTAGCACATAATTGCATAGTTGGTAGCCAGCACTTCTGCTAGGTCGCGTGTTAAGTCAAACTACCGCACCGTAGTCGCCAAAACCTGGTAGAGCACCAGCAGTGAATGCAGCAACACCTATGCACTATTGTGCATCGGATAAGGCACGCGTCTTACACGGCTGTGTGCCATGTATGGCACTGCGAGCAAACATAATGGAATTCGTTTGGAAAATGTGGGCTTGTCAATTTACGGCCATGCTGACTGCTGGCGTTTAGAAAAATTCACATTACGCGCTCAGAGACGCTGCGCAAAGTGTCAAATGAGTTGAGGTCCAACATGTGATGTGTGCAACAGCGAACGTGAGGCTGCATTAGGCAATCGTAAATACTAAAGTACGATCCTTAAGAGTTCCGCATACGAAGGCTAACAATACGGCAACAAAACATATGTGAGCGCAAAGTTCACGAACACTTGTTGCTTTGTCTCAAAGCTCGTCGGCACGCTCGTCGCTTGTCATAGACGAAGCTTGAATGCCTTCGAAACTTTCTATACGAAAGTGTGCAGTGTAGTTGTTATTGTTACGATTGACTGGCTTGCAGGCTGGCAGCGAAGGTTGTATACGACGCAAATAAGCTTCGCTCCAGCGTTGGCCAACGCAACGAAGTGGCGGCAATGAGGACCAACACGAACGTGTCCCTGAGGCAGTTGGTGTATAAAAAGGCTGCTCATTGCTGGTAACGGGCATATGTTCGTCGCGCTTCGAAGCTGAAATATCTCAGTGAAAATTGCGGAATATACTTGACAAAAGCAAAACCGTTGATATTTGTTTTGTTTCCAAATAATAAATCAAAATAAGCATTTGGAAAAAAGTGCAAGTGTCACCAGAAAACCAAAAACTCCTTAAGCGAATTTGGATTAAAAATATAACAAAAACTTTTAAAGACAAGAAATAAAGTGTCTGAAAATTTTGTTTCTAACAAAACCAAAGAACTGTTAAAATCTTTAAAAGAAAACTGAAAAAGTGTTACAAGCTAAACACAAAACAAACTCATAATGGATAATTTAACTCCGCAAAAACTCAACAAACCAACAACATCATCTTCCAGCAGCACTTCCAACTCATCAGTGTTCGTTGCAAAAAATACCACAGCCTTACCCGTACACGTCGCACACAAATCCGTTTCCTACTCATCCACATCCTCCTCGAGCGACAGCAAAATGTCCAAAACAAAATTAACACGCGATCAAAAGACAACGCGCGGTTTTCTCAATTGCATCGGCAAGCATTTAGGTTGTCCCTTCCTACAACAAAATTCGCGTCATCTACCACAACAGCAACTCCAGCGTTACATCTATAACAGCCAAGACGATTTGCCCAGCTCCTCCACAGACTCGTTCTCGCTCAGCTATGAACGTGGCTCACACACTGGCTTTCACCTCACCGGCTCCAGCATTGATCTCACTTGCGGTGATCTCAATGACTTTGCACCGCAATCGAAAACCCAGAAATATCACCAGCAACATGCCTCACACAATACACTCTCCTCCTCGGCGTACAGTGGCTCCTCGTGTTCACCAGCATTCTGTTCGTTTGACGTTGATTGTTTGGTGGACATCTACAACGGTGATGTTGATGCAGATGGCGAAGAAGATGTGTCTATCTCGCTGAAAATGTACCAGCAACAGCAGCAGCACAACAGCTCCAATAATAATGTGGCGCATAGTTGCAGTTCCGGCCACAATACCGATACAAATAGCAGCGATGACGATGATGAATGCTCCACACATGAGGAATGCTGTGAACAAAAGCAGAAGCGTAAGTGTCTGAAGCACGAAGCACAACAACATCACCAGCAAACGCATCAGCAGCACCATGACCAACAAAAAGAGCACACAACAACACATAAGCGTCTGCACCTAAGTCGGCTATCAATCGCCTCCTCAGTGACACGCATGTTGAACCATTTCGCAAGCAGCACGTCGATGAGGTCTCTGTCATGCAGCAGTACACCACTGCGCTGCTTCAAGGATGCTAAACCGAAGGAGGCTGATGACGCAGCTTCGCATCTGAATGCCAGGAATAAGAATGAGCACAAGAAGCACAGCTTGCCGAATACGTCGTCATCGTCGGCATCGTCCAACGGTAGCCGTAGCAGCAGCAGTGGCAGCAGTAGCAGCGGCGGCGGTGGCGGCAAAAGCAGCAACAGCGTTAGCGCCAAGAAGAAGGAAAAGAAGCAGCAGAGCATATTGCGGCCGCCAGTGCATTATGTCTACACGAAGGGCATGTCCGGCCTCTACTCGCGTGTGCCGCGCTACACCGTCTGCTCGCCATATGCAATGCATTAGGGTGGCGTTAGGTGGCGTTGGTTAAGCGTATGGAAATGTGAGATCTATGTATGTAAATGAAATATGCATATATACACTATATATGTATACAAACTCAGACGTATCGAAAAAGAGGCTGACTATCTAAGTATTATAGTTCGTAGAGATTTGTAGCTTTGGAGAAGTTAAACTTACTTCCAAATAACAACAGCAAAAGACTTGTAATATAATAACAGAAAAAAATAATACCGTTAAGTGTACATGAGCGATTAGTTTAACCTTTAGTTACTTGTAAGCGTCTAAGTATAAGCTCGAAAGAATTAGGTTTGGTTTAAAAAACAAAAGACGTAATAATGGAAATCGCAGTGCCTCGAGTCTAATGATTTGAAATGTATGAAGAATGTAAACCATAATGTATATATAGATGTACACCAAACACCTAGTGGGTGTGTTGTTGTCGGTTGAGTAAACTCAATGTAAAACTTTGCAAATTTCTTCCATTCAAAGCTGCATATTTTTTCTAAACAAAAGCGGTAAAACGAAATAAAATTAAAACTAAAAATTTTATTCAAAAAGCACTGAAAAGTTCAAAAATTTCTTCCATTACTACAAGGAAAAGTATTCAACTATCAAATAGTTTAAAAATCTATGTATTATCAATTATTCTAAATAATTTTAAATTATATTTTTTTAATTATTTATAGAAATTAATATGTAGAAAAATTTTTAGTATAAGTCAAATTAAATAACTACACTATTTATTTTAGCTACTTCACATTATATTTGAATAAATGCTATATTTCTGAAAAATAAAAATACCTCTCCATTCATTCTTTACTGAAAGGCATTCATTTAGGAGCCCATATTGTCAACTGCGAACAAACAAGCCAATGGAGTTAGCTGTGTTTAAAAAGCAATGAGAAAAAGCTGATTTAACTTTTTGTGTTAAAAACGTATACATTTCTGCATTTCTCACTTCCATTTTATTTCTTTTACAAAAAGAGTAACCCAATTTTTATTCGAATACAACAATAACTACGAGGAAACAAATAAATTCGAATAATGAAGCTGGTAAAACTTTTTTTCAGTTGAAAGCAAAGAAAATTACCATTTATGGACCAAAGTTTAAAGTTAAACATTTTGAAGGCTACTACCGTAATATTAAAAATTTAAACACTTTACTTAAGATTTTCTGGCAATTTTTTTAAAATAAATTACTTCTAATATTCGGGTTGTAAAAAGGCTCACTAATTACTCAAACTTTCCATACTTCCATAAAGGACCTTGGTAAAAGAATTATACAATTTTGTTCAAACCTGACCTCAAACTCACTTAAGATATGGATTAAAGAGTTTTTTTGCCATGCTTCATGCGTTTATAATACTTTTTTTTAGGAAAACAAACCTCGAAATCGTCTAAACTATCAAGAACAAAATTATTATAAACTCTTAGCAACATACTTTCGGGATGATGCTGAGGATGATGATGCAAAATATTGTACTATTATAAATAAAATAAATAGTATTACGAGTAAAAAAAGCTAAGTCCACGCGTACATTCCACAGTCTTACAACTTGCCAGAATCCAAGCCGGGGAAATACCTTCAGGTGTTGGCAAAACTTTATTTTAAAAATATTGTGATAAATTCAACATTTATTGTTCGACGAAACTGAATGGATTACAATCAAATTCGTATCTCATAAATTTATATTACAGCTCAAAGACTCCCCGTCAGCGAAAATTATATTAAAATCATTTTAAAATAAGATAACATATATGTGATATAAAATTAACCAAATAGGTTAGATTTAATATATTGCGTTGGTGGTGTAAGGTGGTGTAGGTCATATTCAGCGCTAAAATATTAAAGTAATAATCTTTGTTAGAGTAACGGAATATATGTAGTATAATATAATTTCACAAGTTTTCAGCTTTGAAATATAGTACATTCAGTATTAGACGTTCGAATAATTTTGCTAAGATATTTTACATATTAACCGATACATGCGGTATAAAGTCAGCTGGAATTTCGAACATTTTTCTATTAGATATTGGGACTAAGGGATATATTGATTCGATTCAATCCAGTAGTGACCAACAGGCATACTATTATCAGAAAATGATACCCTTCGAATTTCTGTAACATATCTCACAGATTGACCGATATTTTCGATAAAAAGTTCCCAATAAGAACTGGGGTCCACATATCTGAGGGCTTGAATAGTTGTAGTCTGATTTGGACAAATTTTGGTCACAAGGTGGCGCACTTCAAATGTAATAATCGTGCGAAGTTTTACCGGGTTATATTTATTGGTGCTTGATTTGTATACTGGAAAGATCAGATGGAATTTAAAATTGTGTTATATGGAACATAGGTCTAGTTGCAGTCCGATTTCACCCATTTTTGCAATATTCTGTTATATGAGGTGTGGGCGTGGTTATCATTCGAATTCACCCTTTTTCATACTGTCGATGAGAGTGCTAAAAATATTTGTCCTGAGTGTATTTGGTTATTATAGTTTAGGAAATTTGCATATCACACATATAATAGCGTGTAGGGCCAAGGTCACTTTTTCAAAACGTTGTAAACCGCAGATGCTCCTCCCTCATGCCATTCATTATACCGAATAACAGTATCTTATTATGGAGCTTAGTTATGACAATTTTTGGTTTTTCAATTAATGGCGTTTTGTGGGTGTGGTAATGGTTCGATTGAGACCATCGACACTCAGTATTAGGTGATACAAACAACCGTTAGAAGAATGAAACTATTATACCCTGTAGCAACATGTTGGAAGAGTATAAAAATTTTGATTTAATATTGGGTTAAGCTCAGCGAATTGCAACAGTCTACATGCAACTAAAAAAGCTTTTCGCAGCGAATTTTCTGAAACCTCTACATTACGCTCATGCTCTGCTCCGCGCTCTTTTCGCTCGCACCATCGCACCGCATGCGCACACAGCACTTGCATTTGTTGTGGGAACACTTTGCCTCGCATAGAGTACAATTTTAAAAATGAAAACACAGTACGTCATCGACAACAACAACTGTATAGAATATGTTTACTAACCGACACACTCCAATGACACACAATTTTAGCAATTGATAGCCACATTCATTCCGAATGCAATGCACTTGTGAAGGACTTGCTGTCGACCTTATTTACCTTTTTCGATCCAATATAGCGCAGATAATGTATGACGACAAAAATTTCCTTGCCACCGTAATGACAACTATTTGACAGTGTCGTACGCACTCGTATAACCTTTGGTGGCATAGATTTTGAATATTGCCCAGACCGGTTGTGGGTCCACAAATGGTGTTTCTCCGCTGTTTTGAAGGTTCTCGCCATTTCGTTTCGATTGTGTGCCGCTTATACTATTAATGTATATAAATATATATATATTTAGGTATAGGTATATGTAAAGTATGTATATGTATTCGAGTAGATACGGTATTGAAGCTGAAAATAGTAGCCATATACATGTGACCTTTACCCGACTACTGCTAAAGTGAATGCCAAATTGGCATACATATGAAAGGGAATTTACATGGACATATTCATGGTATAAAAGTATTTTCAGAATTCCGCATCTAAGGTCCTCTTTGACGTAATACTTTGAACTTCTGTAGCGCATCGTAAGGCAGTTTGGCGAATTTAAATCATTATGAGCTGCTTGTTGAGAGGACATTTTTGCTCATTCCGTCTCCGAGGTGCTTATAGTAATGAAGAGCATTAATAATTCAAACCATTGTTAATTAGAAGGTGTGTGTTCTGGATTAACCAACAACGAATTTTTTGTTATGCCAAACTGAAAATTAAACAAGTAAGAAAAGTCTCATCAAACATTTTATAGAGCCGGCCATTGTTATCAGATGTTGCAAAACTTTATCATAAAACGTGTTCCGATTAGAATCATATTTGGTATATTATTAACTTATATCATAGGTCATAGACTCACTTAGTTCAGTTACTACGTGTCCGCGATTACTTATATCGAAATCAATCTCAAATGGGATGTAAAATGTATATATGTAATATAAAATCAAACAAAGACATTAAATTTAATATATTGGATGTATGAGAAAAAAGTTTAGGGATATGAGGATTAGGCTAAGGTCTAAACCAATTCGATTCAACACTAAGGCACATTATTCTTTTAAAAATCTACTAAATTTTATTAAAATATTCAAACAAATGTCCATGTTTTGCAAATTTTCTGCCTACATATGCCATTCTCTACTACGATCTCCTTTACTAAGTTGATGTTTTGTATTCTTCTTTGGAGCTTATTAGTTAGTTCTTAGTTATATCATTTTATAGATTTTCAATTAATACTGTATGCATACTGTGGGCGTGTGAATTATTCGATTCCGCCCATCTGCAATAACAACCTCCCTTAGGAGCCAAGAAATATGTGTGAAGTTATCGCTTGTACGGTCAACATAACTGTATATCTATCACGAATAGCGTTAGCTGTTACAAACAACTATTATACTCTCTATTGCAACATGTTGCGAGCATAACAATAGGTTTTAATAGGCACATAGCCTAAAAGAAATTTTGAAAAAATTGCAGTTATTTTTCCATAGTTTCATTTTAACTCGATTCAACTTTTTTAACCCGTTTGAAAAATGCGTTTTATGGAAGTATGCCGAGTAAGTGTACCCCTAAATAATTGGGTCGGGCTGAGCCCTGTGACCGGTCTGTCCTTCTCCATATAGTTGATGAGAACAGATATTGTGAATCGCATTAAAAGGTATTACTCTTCTCGGCATTCTTCGGAGCAGGTACACCAGTAAAGTATATTCTTTCGACTATTTATCTTGGCCAAAAAATTCAATTAAATCGCGAACATTTTCGCGCGATGATTTTTTACAACTTTCGATGTGAATGAACACAGCAACAGTGCATCGATGAACTTAATTCAATTTTTGGCGATGAAGTTCCATCAAGGACCACTGTTCATCAATGATATGGTGAATCCAATCGATGTCGTAGATCAGTCCAAGACGAATTTCGTGAATGTCGTCCAAAGACATTTATTTTCCGGAAACTATTGATGCAGCTGTGCGCAAACTGCAGGATCGTCATGTAACCTATCGTGAGATTGAGACAACTGTAGGCATTAGTGGAACCAACATACATTCAATATTGCATGAACATTTGATTTAAATAAAATTTTTTCACGTTGGATACCACACAATTTGCCAATTGCTCAAAAAAGGCTCGTATCGATTGGTCGAAGGAACTGTCTTGACACCGAATGACTTCTTTTTAAGGATCTTAATGGAGAACATTTTGAAAAACAATAAAGCGATTTTCGACGATTAAGATTTGTTTTTGTTCTCTTTTCCCGAAATATAAAAGACAACCGTCGTAAAATGGTTTCACACTAAACACATTCCATAATTTGTGCTCGACAACCCCAAATGTGAATAACATTTACACACGTGAAGAGTGAGTTTATTGCATGAGTAATTGCTATGTTGTTAATGCACCTTAAACAGCTGGTCACACTGTTGCGCGGCTACAAACAAATACAAAAAAGGGCGACCAAAATACAACTGATTTGCGTCTTCGGTAAAAATGTGGATTTTCATTTATTATTATTAGTAGATAGCGTTGTGGCGTTGGCGTCGAAATGCATATCG